TTTAATTGTATTATATGTCGTGTACGTTTAGGTTAGTTAGGTTAAGTTAAGTTAGGGTTGGTTCGTTGTTGTTCGTTCGTTGTTGTTGTTGGTGTGTGTGTGTGTGTGTGTGTGTGTGTGTGTGTGTGTGTGTGTGTGTGTGTGTGTGGTAGATGTGTGGTATTGCCAAAATTAATTTGTAAAAGATCTCTATTTAATTGGCTTAAAGGAAATTAAGTGCTTATATAAACACTCAGAAATATAAAAGAAGCTTCCCCAAATGAATTTCTTGTGGTCTAGGATTAATTCTTACTGAATGAAAATGAATTTAAGTTTGCTAGTTTAAGACAGATATGTCTTTAGAGTCATCAACATTAAGTTTAATACTTTTATTGTACCTAAGTTTACTAGAAGTAAAATAAGATCCTATTGTTCCTGTTACAAAATTTATCTTCAAGAAAAACAATGATATGATAAAAAATTTAAGTAAATTAAATGTAAATGAGGTAAGAGGTTTTTTTAGATGAACTCTTTAGGAATAATTATATTTTATGGTGTGTCTATACAAAAATAGTTTCTGCTGTACTGGGTAAGAAATTAGAGAATTCTAATAGAAAACATGGTGGCTTCATAAAACTGTTAACAGAAGATTAAGATCAAGAATTACTTACATAGGACTGAGTGAACTAATGAATATGGTTATAATATGGGGGGCTTTTGTCTGAACTATGACTGGTTTTTGTTTTTTTCTTGCTTTTCTAAGTTTTTTTTAATGAAAGTATAGTTCATTTGCAATGTTGTGTTAGTTTCTGGCATACAGCAAAGTGATTCAAATATATATATATTCTTTTCCATTATGTTTTATTACAAGATATTGAATATAGTTCCCTGCGCTATACAGTAGGACCTTGTTGTACATCTATTTTATATATAGTACTTTGTATCTGCTAATCCCAAACTCCTAATTTATCCCTCCATCACCCTCTTTCCCCTCTGGTAATCCTAAATTTGTTTTTTATGTCTGTAAATCTTTCTGTTTTGTAAATAAGTTCATGAAATATTACTGGTTTTTAATCATTTTCCAGATATAAAGACACCCTTCCCCTCAAGCCAATTATGATTTACAGCAATTTGGTAAATTATTCCTTTGTAAGTAGAATTGAAACATTTATCCTTTCTCTCTACCTAATCCCTCCATAAACTGGAAACTCAAGTTCCCAGCAGCCTTATCAGGTGAATAAGGAAGAATGCCTCCTAACAGGTGCAGGAATCTCAAGTATTTTGGGGACCTTGAGAAGTGAGGAGTCCACCCAAATCTATAAATATCTCAGGCAGAATCTAAGGGCAAGCACTTGGTGTGGCTTTCCTTGCCTTGAGAGGCCTTTTGAAAGTTCAATTTGAGATTCCTTATAAAGAGTTTCAGCATAGCCAATTTAAAAGAGCCAGAAGAATCAATTACACTTAAGTAAATAATCAGGCCAACTTTATTGAAATTAGACTTATTTTTCAAACAAACTGCCCTTAATTTGGCTATATTTGGTAGAAATTAGGGTAATTTTACAGAGGAAAAAATTGTGTCAGTGGATATTAAGTTCAAGTGTTGTCTTTGAGGTTTTTTGTGTTTACTGCCTCACTTTCCAGATGGCTCCTTGTTGCTAAAAGTGACATTATTGTAAAGTTTAATTGGATCATTGAAAGCACATTCTAAGTTTGTTTCTGAACAGTTACCTTATGGCCCATAACCAGATTATGCATAATGAAGAGACATCAGACAAAGGATTCTTAGCCATATTGGAAGGGCAATATTAGTCCTCCTCTCCTGACTGAGCTGCAACTCCTGTTTCTGACACCTGACTTCAAGTAAGACCAGCACTACCAGACCAGGATGAGAAGACAATATCTAAGGTAGATAGCTGACCAAGATGCAGGACTAATCCTGTATGCTAATTACTTTGATAACTGCTCACACTTTTGCTAATGAACCAAATGTATTTCTTCCTTGGGCTCAGTTGTATGCAAGTTTCAAAAGTCAATCTGATTGCTGGGTTTGTGGCCAATTACCTATGTCTGGTACTGCTTGGTGACTTTGGTGGGTTTCTCCTCTCCAAGGCTCTAATTGTATGGCCATTAGAAATTTAATTTTAGAAGAAAGAAACTCTAGTACTGTGCAAGCTACTACCAATATCAGTAAGTGGGACTCTCTTACCTGCCAATTAATGACACCTGTTCTGAACTTGGCCATAAATGCCCCCTTTGACTAGATGTTAACTATTGGGTAGTTCCTAACAGGACCCAGTGGATTTATAGAACATGTTTATGGCCTTAGCTCTCCCCAGGTTGTTTAGAAAGATGCACAACTGATTTCCCTCGGGCTCAAGCTCACTTACCGGTAGCCTTGGAAACAGCCCTTGCCTATCTGCCTTTAATGTAAGCACGCTGGGTTCCATCAGTTTTCCAATGGTATGATCATTTGGCTGTGGTATTTGTTCCTTCACTGGAAATAGAAGATACCATTACTCAAATAGAGGCTTCAGCAAAACTCACTCAGTAAGCTTTGTGTGATAGTAGTCTAGCCGTTAGCGTGCTCAGTTCAGAAGTTTCCATGATGAGAAAAGTGATCCTGCAGAATCACATGGCCTTGATTGTCTAACTGCTTCCCAAGAGGGAATCTGGGCTATAATACATACTGAATGTTGGATTTTTGTAACCATTGTGTCTTCTGATGTAACTTGTCTTGTGACACCTATGAAGAATCAAATTTCTGCTCTGAATGACCCTCTTCTCAGTTTAGGGAAAGTATTAGGAAAGTGGTTTGCTTTAGAAGGATCTTGGCTTAAAACTTTACTAATGACATTGTTACTTTGGCAACTTTGATTATAATCTGTGTAATTTATAATGTGATTGTTTCTTGCCTTCTGCACTGTGTATCACCTACTCCTACTAGATAACCTAAGCAACTTGAAACTACTGATTACATCTGTAATTCTCTCTAAATTAATGGTCATGCATGAGGTACATGCAAGGTAAAATTGGCATAAGTTCTATTGAACAACTTGGAATTGGCTGTTAGTCCTTGCCAGACATCTTACTAGAACAACACTCTAAAATTAGGAAAGAAAAAGCTGGGCTATTTAAGAACCGACATTGAGGGACACGATGGACCCAGGTAGGTAAGCAACCATCATCAAGGGATCAAATATTTGATCACCTAACACTTTCTATCAAAAGACTAATAATTAAAAGGAAGGAAAAGACTGTCTCCATGGTTATAATACTTAGATTGACTCAAATAAGATTTTCCATTTCTTTCTTAGGTCGACTGTTGATTAAGTTTTTTGTAGGCACCGCTTTTAGGCACTAGCCTTTTCTTGCTAATGGAACTCTGATTTTGTTAAGTATGGACTGGCAACAGACTCAGGAAAGATGGGGGTGTCACCCAGTCTGGTTGCCAGATTTAGCAAATAAAAAGATAGGACATTCAATTAAAGCTAAATTTCAGACAAACAACCAATAGGAAATCCTATCCCCCCAAGTTCTAAGGATGAACTCTGGTTAAGACCAACGAGGCAATCCCTTTCTCCTTGCTAGTGGTTGGTTTGGGGATGGGCATATAACAAAGTTGGACCAATTGCATCTGAGGAGAAATCTGGGGGCCTTTGGGAAAGATTTTCCTCCCTGATTAAAAACAGAGAGAGGGAGAAAGGAGAGAAGTGTGAGAAGTCCTTCATTCTTCCTGCCATCGGTAATCTCATGTGAAGATGTGGTGCTGGGAACAGCAGCAGTCATATTGTCACTGTGGAGTAAGAGTCATGAGAAAGTCAGAAAGACTGAGCCAGAGCTCTGACATTGCTGAACTTCCAAATTAGGCAGCTCTGGAATCTTTTCTCCAGATTTTTGTTTTATAAAATAATGAATGTCCTCACTGTTTACGCCTCTTTAGTTGGGCATTCTGTTCATGCTGCTGTAAGCATCCTAAATGATTCAGCTGAAAGTGTTTTGCATCTCACTCAGCGGGTGTCAGATGTCTGTGATTCTTAGCTAGACCTAGAACTCAGCTAAAGAATTTTACCCCATGCAGATAAAGTTGTTTTTATTATGAGATCTACTGGCCTAGTAGTATTGCATGGGTCTTTCTCAACTTCTCACACTTTCAAGAATCACAGAAACCTTCCCACAGACTTTGGAAGGTGGATGGGAGACAGCGATTCTGGCCTCCCGGGATGGAATAGTTATTAACAGTTCTCTATCTCCTCAGTGTCACTGACAGCTTCGGAGAGCTCTGCTGGCTGCATGAGGAAGTGCTAGCCAGGCAGGCCAATTTCATGGGACAAACAGACATTGTTTCACAGTTTTACTTGTGAAATGGACAACCTTTAACCCAGAAGAAGTTGGGATTGGTGATACTGAGGTAGTATTAGCATCTGTGGCATCTGTGCTGTCAGTTTTGATTACAATACCCACTGTTTGTTGGTTTTATTTCTAAACATTCTATATGAAGAAAATTTATCAGATGTTTAGTGGCCATATTTTTAATATATGGCAAACATTTTTATTTTCAAAAAGTGCACGTGGCAACTATAGAATTCAGACCAGTAAGTCTCCCATCCTAGTCTCCTTTTTTCATTTTCTAGAAACAACCATTGTTATGTTTCTTGTGTATCCTTCCAGACATTTATATACATAGACAATTATATAAATATGTGCGATTATTCAAATGCAGATGGTAGAACATAATACATATTAATTATATCATAGAGATCCTCCCATGTCATTACTTTAAAAATTGCCTTATTCTGTTCATGGGCTGCATAGTATTCTCATGCATGGTTACATTAATTACCTATTAGCCAATCTCCTGTTGATAAACACTACAATGGACCTTTGTCATGTTTTCTGGTTGGCCTGCTTCTTTGGAACACTTCTCATGTTGGAGAAAATACTCACTCTCCAGTTTTCTTAGAAGTTCCCCAACCAGTAGCACCCAGGCCAGTCTCCAGATCAGAAGTGGACCCCAGAGGGGGAAATGTGCTTTGGGCAGGACATCCATTTTGCTGGCAAGGGTGTAGAACAGCCTTGTGATTTTGAGAGTAATAGGTTTTACAAAGTGAATTCCTGGTGCAGAAGAGATATTGCTGGTACTACTGTGAGTCATAGTTGCAGTTACAGTCATGTTCTGGGTTGCGGTGCAAATTGTGGCCTCTAGTTCTTGGTCACAGCACAATGTTCTGGGCCTTTTATTCATCAGGCTATTTTTATATGTGATTTGTGGCTTTATTTCTTGAGGTTTAGTATCAAGCCTATTCTCTAGCCCTCCCAACAATTATCTTTACAATAAATGACTACCTGCTGATCAGAGTCACTTCTGCTTGCAACCAAGAGCCCTGTCTGAGATATGTTGTTTCCTTCTAATTTGTTATTTTTTTAGGAAAAAAAAAAACTTCAATGACAATCTTTCATATTCATCTTTGTGCTTGTGTGGGGGTAAATCTGTGGCATAACATTCTAAAAATGGGATTGCTCTGAGAGAAAATATTGCAAAAGACACATTTGATGAAGGACTGCTATGCAAAATGTACAAAGAACTATTAAAACTCAACAATAAGAAAATAAACAACCTGATTGAAAAATGGGCCAAAGACCTTAACAAACACCTCACCAAAAATGGCAAATATGCATATGAAAAGATGCTTCACATCGTGTCATCAGGAAATGAAAATGAAAACATTACACACCCATTAGAACGACCAGAATCCCAAAACACTGATAACACCAAATTCTGCCGAAGATAGGGAGCAACAGGAACTCTCATTCATTGCTGGTGGGAATGTAAAGTGGTACAGCTACTCTGGAAGACAGTTTGGCAGTTTCTTACAAAATTAAACACTCATACCATACAATCCAGCAATTACATTCCTTGGTATTTAACCAAATAGGTTGAAAACGTGTATTCACACAAAAACCTGCACATGGATGTTTCTAGCAGCTTTATTC